GATAGAAACCCAGTTTCTATATTTCTAGAAAGAAGATCAAAGTAACTGGAACAATGAGGAAAAAACACATCAGGCCCCTGAGATCAAAAAAGACGTCTGTCATCAGCAGAAGAAAGGAAGGCAGTAGAGTGGATGTCAATGGGGTGTGGTTCAAGAGGAAAAAGGCAGAAACCAGCTGTGGGAGAAAGGAAGATGGACTGAAATAGGAGACTGGTATTAAACTGCCAGAGCATAGGAGATATAAGAAAACAGTGGGCTAGTAAGAGGACTGAAAAAGATAGCAAGGGATCTGCAGCAGGAACTGAGAGGTACTGGTGCAGGGATTTGGATTGGTTAGCCTCAATAAATTAGAACTTGGAACAGAGGTCTTAAAAGTGGTTAAGGAGACTGGGACTCCAGTGAAAGGCAAGGGATGGAGTAGAGCTTAAATTACAACAGAAACAGACAGGAGGTAACAGAGCAAGAATCGTGCAAAACTCACCAGAGCAGCTAAAAAGAAACCAAAATTCCTGAGTCCCACCATCAGAAGATGTGCAAAAACCTGTGCAAAAACAACTAGAAAAGGATCTTGTTCCCCTCCAGCTTGATACCATACACAGAAAAACAGCTATCACTTAATCCGTTATTAAATGAAGAGGCTTGAGGTGCTGGAACTAGATGTCCCAGTCTTTCTATGTATGTATGTAACTTTGATGTCACAGGATGTGATTTTTCTTTTTGAAGAAAAAGCAAATACAAAAAGTGTACACACAAAAAAAAGTTGGAAGAATTATGGGATTGGAAGGCCAAGCAGTTTCCTGTTAAATACGTAACTTTAATTCATCTTGTTTGTGCTTGTACATTAAGGTAAAGTGTTTCAGGATTCAGGAAGAAACCTACTATTTGTATTTTCTTGATCTTTACATGACAAAGTATTGTACTGGGAAAACAGAACCTATCCATAAAAGTTTCTGGAGCACTGTGAACCAGTTCAGAAAATAAATAAGGCTTTTCCTTTGGAAGCACATGCAGGGAATACAGTCTTGTCCCCAAGATAGTGAGGGCAGGATTGACCTGTGACTTGTACACATGACTTTTTTCATTCTCTAATATCAGAGTTTCATGACTCTGGACTTGGTCAGGAAAATGCACAGTCCCCACTGCTTTCCTGCTTTGAGTAGTTCTTGTGATTCATAAAGCAAGACTCCTGAGTCAAGCAGAGAAGATCTGAAGGGCAGTGTTGTGGCATGGAATATGAAACTCATTGTAATTGGAGTCATGTCTGGGGTTCACATCAGGGGCAAAAATCCTTTCATGCTTTATGCCAGAAGATCATCTCCAAGGAAACTTGACAACTTCAAAGGTGTCAGTGCAAAGTTGTTGAACTTCACACACACTGTTAGATAAAGCTCACTATTCTAGAAAGTATTGCATATAACTCAGTCTTACCATCCATTTACAATTTCTTGTTACTTAGACAGCTCTGTCCATAACATTCATGCTGTATGGACACATATAAAAGTGATTTTTAGGAAGTCTTGAAATTCCTTGTGCCCGAAGTATAAGGATATTTACTAAAAACATTTGCATATTTACAAATTACATACATTGTAATACACTACAACACAGGTGCTTTTTTTTTTCTCCCAGACAGATTACAACCATTGTAAACTAGAGGAGTCTGAGAAAACCCTGAGTTCGTTGTTCTTTTCAGAAGTGCTTTGGGATTTTTAATGGACTCAAAGTACATGTTCATCTTAACATTTATGCTGATCATTTCTTGCAGCACTATGGATAAAATGTGAATAGACAAAATAGCTCTCCTGAGACACACAAACTCCAGATTTAACACAGTTTGAAAATCAGGTGCACGGGGGTAATGTTCCAAAACAGCTTCAAAGCCAGTCACCCTTGCAGGTGTTGAATACTTGCAACCCCTTTTCTCCTTGTGCTTCATTTCCTGTTTCTTACTGAATATGCACTCTGTGCCATTTCATTTCAACATCTCTAAAAAATTTCATCCCACAAAACAAACCTTTTAAATTTCCTGACTTGTCCAAAAACTTGATTCCAGTAACAGGAAAAAAGAGAAAAATAATATAAGCCTCAACAATTTCAATGGCTTCCAGCAAAATATTTTTCTTTTTCTACCAGCTGAATCCAGTCTTCATTCTTAGCTGTTATCTCCCTCTTCCTGATGTGTCTAGCATAACAGAGCTAAAGTTTTTGTCTGATAACATGGATTTAGTTGCTGTGACTAGTGCTGCTTCTGTTCATGTGAGCTGCTCTAGCCTGATTTGCTGTCCACAGTTTTGCCTTCTGTTGCATACAGTGCAGGTTGGTCTTTTATCCCAGTCTCTATTGTTCGGCAGATTGTTGATTTTGTTGTTGTTGTAATGGGCATCTTAACGGCCAAACTGCTTTAGGAAAGCATTTCAGAGAAAATGAATGAATTTGTAGAGAAACTGTGCCACCCAGGAAATTGTATGGGCTGTTGCCTCAAAGAATGTTACTAGCTTTTCCATCTTTGTTTAGAGGGCATATTTACTCAGAAGATGCTCAGACTCCTTTAAAATATGATGAAATTGATGGAGCCATTCTTTACATCTATGAGATGATCGAGATTTTAAACAGTTGAAAGAGCATAACTGGTTAAGATACATTAAGAAGTTGTAATCACATGCAACTCTTTCAAAAAAATTTATGCGTTTCTAACTTCTGGTCATGTACCTTTTTCTCAGTTAGAGTATATAAAACTTATGGAATATTGAACACTAATACATCAGAAACTAACAACTTCATAAAATTTCTTCTTCTCCTTGGGCTAGTCAGTATTTGGATACAGGTAGGTTCTTCCAGAGCATAAGAGCATGGTCAGATCTCCAATAAATTAGTAAGAATCTTATCATTAAATTCAAAGAGCTGGAGATCAAGCTGAGATACAGAGAATCAAATATATCCTCAGGTAAATGAGAGCCAAGGAAGAGATTTCAGGACTGAAACATGAAAGCTGATAGAAATAACTGATGTTACAATGCCATAAAAGAGCTGCATGGAGAGGTTTCCAGCTTAATCTTCCCAGCATGTCAGCTGGCTTACTGGAACACATCCTTCTCCTTAAAGAAAAGTATGCCCCTCCAATGTCCACCAAATTGAATGGGTGGCTTACTTCTGGGTAGGCGTGGGTCCCTCTGAGAAATCAGTAATACTGGGACAGAGTTCATGTTTTTCCCTAGGCTGAATTGGCTCATAAAAAGTGACCCTGGGAGCACTTCTGTAGTTTGTTGGTGCAAGGGGTCAGCAAGCAGAGCAGTGAGACTAAAACGCAAGGGTATTTTATAATATTACTGATCTTTTAACTGTAGATGGGCATTTGAACACCCAAATAATGATTTCAGGGTTAAAAAAGGTAGACATGGACACTTTAAAATGGCTTAGAATTCATTATTATGGTGAGAGCAGTGTGTGGAGAAACCATTGTGAGACGATGATTTTTCCTGTGTAGTTGCAAATACAGGATCAGTAACTAAAGCACTTGAGTCTCCTAGGAGGGTTTGTGAAATAAAGAACTCTCATTGAGGAGTGGTTATACATTCAAAAGATTCTGCTGTCATATAAAAAACTGCTCAACAATATGATTAAAGGCTTGCTATCTGGTTGCAAGAGAGCATGGTTTTCAATAGAATATTGACTTCAGTGGGGCTATTTTCGTAGGCTACCACCAGGGAAAAAGGTTCCCACTTCAATCTTTTGTCAGTGAAGGTTTTGATCCTTTGTCAGGAAAGGAATGTGCCACAGGTTCATAAACAAATTCATTTCTGTATTAGAAAAGAATGAAGAATGTATTTAAAAAAAGAAAATAGTGAAAAAACCCCCCATTAGTTACAGTTTCAAGAATTAATTAACAGTGATTTGATGAAACAGGAGCTAAACAGTCACTGTTGCATGTTAGATTTTTGCATATGATTACAACATATCATCTAGCATGTTTATTGTACATTTTGAGAATATAAGTACTGAGTCAAAATACACATAGTTAATAAACATGGATTAAAAAGTCCAAATTAAAATTGTAGTCAAATATGCATGAATGTGTATGCACTTGGTAGACACTAGCGGCATTTTCCTTTTCCATCATAGTCCCATTTAATAAACATTAATATTTAAAGACTGATGATTTCCATTATGTCTGCAATATTGGTCATGAAAGTCTGGGAATAAAAATATTTCCTGAAGTCAGGTAGGTCCAGCATGAATTGGTACTGAAAGTATGTGTAATGACTGTCTACATCTTAGACCATGTCTGCACAGGAGCTTCCTTATTGGTACATGAGTCTGGTTCACCTAATAGTTTCTAATGTGGCTGGAAATACATCAGCAAAATCAATATATTACCTTCGTATAACAGCTCCCCTCTCCTTTTTATTTCAGAAAAATAAGCTATACCAGTAAATGAGAGGTGTTGTTGGCAGGGGTTTACTTGTGCTGAAGTCTGCTGAACACAGCCGTGTTGGTCAGCAATCACGTCCCCACAGCCTTAGCCAAGACAGATGTAGCAATTATTTATCAAAGAATTTGTTCTTTGCTAGATGTAGACAGTGAGTGGTTCTTGTGCAAGAGGTGGTACTCACTGTCACCCATCGAGGTATAACACAGGAATAGCATGTACAACCTCCTTTTTCACTACTGTACTTCAGATCCACTTTTGTGGAAGCCCCAGTCACCAGGCAAAACAATGGTTTTACTTCCTTAGTCTGAGCACACCATCTCTGAAGTCATGTCAGTGCATCGTAACTTGTATGATCTGTATGATAAGAAGCTGTCAGCACTTAATATATTTTTCCAGATAACCCACCCAAACTAGAGTCTCTTTTCAATATTCTTCAGAGCAGCAGTTATCTGTTACAGTGACAGACTTGGGACATTTTATATCTTCTTACTAAGCTCTTTACCACTGAATCTGACTATCAGCAGCACTTCGGGTTGTCTGAGAGTTACTGAAGGAGGAAAAGCTTTCTTACCTAACCGAGCTGCTGGCAGCATCAAGGTCTTGCGCTGTCACTGCACCTATAATGGTCCCCACAGGTGTGTCTTCATAAACCTCCATTGTGTACATAGGCTTGCTGAAAACTGGAGGTTCATCCATGTCCAACACATTTATCTTCACAGTGGCAGTATCTTTGAATGGACCCACCGAATGAAATCGATGGTCAAGATGGAGATTGGAGGCCTCGACTTTAAAGGTGTACGCCTTTTTCGTTTCAAAGTCTAACGGCTGTAGAAAGAACAAAAACAAAACATCAGATTTGACTAAAAATTAAACATTGCAAAATCGTTTTGGTAGGATTAATCTGACATAACTTAAGTTGCCTTCAGCGTAAACTTCAGCTCCTGAGCTAATCATCTAAGCTTGTTTTGCCATTCATCTCATGCTAAGGTGGTTTCTGAAATAGGCCAGATGAATCATACCCAGGAAATTACTGTTTCTCCACATCAAAAAAATCAGGATGACTGGCATGGATATAAACAGTTACACTGTAGATGTCTGAAGTTAAATCAGTGAGGTTCATCTCTTGCAAATGAGCTGTGTGCAGGTTAGCCAGAGATTTGCATTCACAACTCCCATGCACAGGCAATCAGCTGTCTCTAGCTGATCCAGTTCCTTAAACAGAAGATTTCAATTTATTTTAGCAGGGAAAGCTTTCAGAGGACCATGACAATGATGGAAATGAGCCCAAATGAAATCTCGGATATATTTTACAATGGGTCAAACTAAACTTCAGGTATGGCTGGGAATGTGAATTCAGACTTGATCTGAACCAGGTTTTTCCTGCAAAATGTCTGTCTTAGCAGTGAACTGCTGTTCATGCTTTATATTTGAGCCACATGTACATTGAAAAATGCAGACTTTGACTCTGCCTTATGATCCTAGGTGTAATTCATAAGGTCTTGAAGGCAACATAGCAGCTTTTGTGTACCTATCTGGTTTTTTTTATGGAAATGCACCCTGCAATCAGATGGTTTTGGTGTGGGTTTCTGTCAATGTACATCAGATTAGTGCCTTTGGTTTTAGAAAAGTAATCCTCTCAAAAACCTTAATGCAGTTGTATTAGTTGAAAAAACCCAGAAGCTTTCTTTTCAGTTAAAGGGTTTAGCTGTGTTGGCTTTCATGTTGTTTTTAACGTTACTGACAAAGTCTTTTCCTGATGTCTGGATAACACTGGCACCTAGTGGTTTCTGCCTGTAATTGTCAACCTCGAAATTTTCTAACGGGAAAGGATATGCTATCTGTGAAAGAGAACAGGATCACAAGTGTATGAGCAACAATATTTCAATGTCTGTCATTTTTTTCCCCAGCCATCATTACCGCAGTGTTTCCAGTCATTTGTCACAGCTAGGATAGATTTAAATTCTGCCATTTTCTGTCCTTATCACAACAGGACATAATTAGCCACATGACTGGCTGGTATAAATGGAAGTAGCTCCATTAAAATCAATCGAGTTACCTTGACTTACATTAGCTGAACAGCTAGCATAATGATTTTAAATCCTTGTGAAAGACTTTATAATTTTAATACACCAGATGGTCAGTCTTTTCTGAGTTGGGCATTTAAAATTAGCCATTCAAGTCTATACACCATAGAAATAATCAGGCTTGAAAGCCAAGTACTACTAACCAATCCACTACCACATGCAACTATCCTCCTACAGACAAAATTCCCTGTAAAACCCAATATGAGTGGCACCTTCATGACTGGACTGACAGAAAGAAGAAGGAGCTAAGGCTAAGAAGAGCTAAACAAAATTAAGTGTGGAAGATCTTGTGACCTAGTGGTGAAACCCTAAGCTGTTACCTTCACTACAAATGGACATGCTGCTTCATTATCCAAATTTTTGTCACACTGTCTTTTCAATTTCTATACTACTCATGTTCACTGTTATGCATGGCCAAAAAAAAAATTCCCTCAACAAACAGAAAAACACCCACAAACTCTTCTCCAGCTGATCATACAAACTGTTAACATGTTTTCAAAAAATATATTAAGGGGAGAAAACCTGGAGTTTAAAGAAACAGTCTGCAGTGGAAAAAGTCTAAGTATGAGGGGTTAAACTAGAGATAAACGATTAAGATAGAGAAAGCAAGAAATCTAAGCTCTCAGTTAAGTAGTAATTCTAATTGATGCCTTGTATGTATCTTTCATACCCCCAAAATTGCATTAAAACTGTTCAGACTGGCTCCTGTGACTCATGAGTATATTTGCAGATAGATGTGCTAATGGAAAGAGCTGTAATCCATGCGGTCCCTGCAGGCTGTCTCTCACTGAGTTACTTTTCAAGGCAGCAGTACCAGGTCATGGTCCTTGGTCAGTGCACAGTCACAACTTTCATGATATGAGGGAAACAGAGTCCTTGCTTGGGGATGGACAGAAAGAAATAAGATTTCAAGCAATTCTGTGTATTGGTGTGCTCAGGCTGGCATATTTTACTGCACAGCTGCTCAGAAGTCAGATAAAGTGGTGGCATTACTTCTCTCCCCCCAGCATTATGGGGCAACGCTATGGTATATTTTCAAAAATTTTTTGAAAAGACAGTTTGACCCCAAGAAAGGAAAATGTTTTCCAACTGTAACCTCAGAGCAACCCATTCTTTCTTCCTGTCCTTCTATGGGTCTGATGATAAATACAGTTAGAGGTTAAACAATATGCAAAGTACAGATGGCACTCAAAATAAGACAGGCTGAAAGTGCTGAGCCATCGTCAGAGAAAGAAATCAGTGACAGACTCCCACAAAATGGCAGAATTTAGCCTTTTAATGTAAGTGAGGCTAAACTGCAGCTGAAACGTCTGTGGAAAGATGGGAAATGTTGCAAATGGTAAACCTAGGATTTAATTTGAAGAAAAAAAAAGATTTCGTACAACATATGCAGCAAAAGAGTACAGTTCAGTGTATGGTGTTTATGGAGAGCCCATGCTACAATCTCCTGATCAGTTCCGGTCTTCCCAGTTTTGAACAGTTGTGCCATATAGAGAGCTATTGACAGTCTTAAATTTTGGCATTTGTCTGATATGCCTGGAGTCTGCCTGAAAACAGAAGAATTGAATGTCTGCCTAGCTCTCGGGCAAAAACTTCTGGATTTTTAGTTTTAAAGATGTTAAAATAGCATTTCTTTGTATTTCTTTTTTTAGTAGATACCACTAAAATCTGTGAAGGAATTGCATGGTCCACACAGCATTTTAGCTGCCTTTTTTTTTTAAAAAAAAACCATATTTTGCTGTTACATAATAAATGTCTGACAGTGCTCAGTCCTATTTTCATTTTAAATCTGGAATGCTGGTAAGGGTACAAATGTAGCAGAATGTTTGAATCTTACAGAAAAAAACTAAGATTATTAAAATTCTTTCAGTTAATGAGATTTTAATGGAATGACTTCATAGAGGTGGTTTTCTTTTAAATAACCAATAGAAATATTTATTCCTTCTATAAAAATAATTATATTCAGAAAGCTAGGTTTGAATAGGGTTTTTATTTTGCAAGTTACAAGTTTTTTCACAGTAAACAGCATTTTTGCTAATATTAAGGCAATGCTTTATTAACTGTGAACTATTCAACAATTAGAGGAGTATTTCTAATTGATATGCTAAGTACCAGATATAGATGTATTTGGCCCCCCTACTGGTTCTTATCTGCCTTTTCTTATGTTGCAGTTACAAGCTGCTCTATATAGTCGCATAGTAAAGCACTATCAGCATATACACACCTGTGTGCAGCAGACGCATTCTACAACTCCCCAAATCAAATAACACATAATGAAAAATCACTTTATCTTGCATCTTTGGAAGTAGCAAGAACGGACTTATTTAGTAGGACTAGGAAAGCACATAAACAGCTCCATGTTAGAAATAAATATATTTAGAAATATTACTGTTTCCCATATCCAAGGTAGAAGTTAAGAAATGCTACTATATAGATTATCTGTATCTAAATTTATATATTAGATAGATAGATGGATAGACAGAGAGAGAGAATTAAAGAACTGAAAGAAAAAAAAAATGGGCTGAAAAATATAACGAATTCTGAAGAAAAGCATGGCAAGGGTGGGAAAAGAACTATCCTGTCAGTTTACTCTGCTTCACAAAGAGGCAGGATCAGAAACCCCAGAAAATTCTGCTTTTTATCCACACATAAGAGATACAAAAACATTGCTTGTGATACAGGTTTTCATGATCCACACCTACAATGATGGAAAAACCATCTATTGAGATGAGACTGTAAGCGCCAGGACATATGGATAGTTACAAACAGTAGCACTGGGTTGAGAGGAAGAGCATATTAACTTAGGCTTATCTTCATACTAGCGTTGTGCAGTTGTAGAGCAACTCTGTCATGTGTGCCTGTCTCAAAACCTGGCAACACTTTCCCCTTGAAGATGGGTTGAGTGTTTATGTATTTTGTGAAATACTGCCATCAGCCTATTCGCTGTGCATAGACACGTTTCAGTAATAGCACTTCTGCACTGGATTTTAAATAGCATAAGGAAATAATTGGTATTATGGAGCAGGTTGCTTTATTAAAGCAAGCTCTGGATCAAACAGGAACATTCATTAATTACAGAGATGAGAATGAACAGTAAAAAATGTCTGTAGGCCAAATCCACAGCAGGTGCTGTAGATTTGACCACATCTGAAGTGGGTGTTTCAAGATTTGATGGGAAGTGGGCAAAATATATGTATGTTCTGTGTCTGGAGAAGGGAAGAAGCTGGCCAATGTCAGGGGTTCAGCTCTTTGCTGCTCTCAAGTATCTTACCTGTTTCTGCAGGTGCCTTTCACTGTTCCAGGAAAAAGCAAACCCAACAGTTGTATCTGCAGACTGCAGAGACTGAAGATCTCCCCTTCCTCACTCTTTCTGTCATTCTTCTCTGTGGCTGCCACGGTCTTTATGATTGCATCTGCACCTGGGTCACCACCTTCTACTTGTACTGAAGGACTTAATATCACCTGCTCTTCTTCTTCAAAATGCAAAACCACAATTCCCACTCACACAAACTCATGGGTTATGATTATAGGCAGACGGTGCCTATGCACGCACCTGCAGGGGGTATTCCCTGCCTCTGGAGAATGAAGGGTTGGGGTGGGGTGAGCAGTCTGTACAGTCTTGCTAGTAAAGCAAGTAGTAGCAGTAATGCAATTCTGGCTGAGGATGTCAGGAGTCTGTCTTATGCTCACTATTATGATGTATAGATGCTATCAGACTGCTCTTACATTACAGCAATGTCCCAGCGCTACATACATGGGCCGTCCCCTGAGCAAGACAGCTTAGTCAGTGGTCAAACTTCTACTTCCTGCCTCCAATTAAAGGCTTTTTAAAAGTGGCCCCTGGGGTTACAAGGAAAAATACGCTCCAAATACCTCCCTGTAGCTACTGGGCCTGTTCATCATCCCCCCAGTTTCTGTTATTTTATCATCACTAAAGCGACTGTTTCTCATCATGCACTGCTGTGTCCTCCCTGACATGCTGTGACGTCATGCATACAGCTTTGCCACCTGATCAGTTAGCAGTGGCACACAGCTTACAGAAAAGAAGATGCAGGTGTTCCCTGAGCTTCCACTGACCCACATGGAGAAGCTCACTCAGTATAGTGCAGCAGTGTAGGATCATACCAGGTGAAGCCTAGAAACAGTTTCTTCCTGGGTTTTAATGACTCTGCACAAATGAATAAAGTCATGTCTGAGCCAGACTCAGTGCTTGAACCCTGCTCAGTTTCTGGATTAGCTCATGCAGAGCCAATTAAGAGGCTTCTGCACACAGTGGGCTTATCCTATAAACTCATCCTTAGTTTAATAAATTCAGAGCCAACTGTTCAGTGAAGCTTGAATCGTTCTGTTTTCCTTTTCTGTTGGGTGTGGTCATTGAAGATTTCTTATCCGTTCCAATAAAATCAGGAGCTTGCCTAGGACTGACACGTTTTCCCTCCATACTTGGGAGCACTACTCCATGCCCCACCTGAGGCCGCTACACCCTGGTACGAAGGAAATGGTCCCTTCTGTCACCCTGCTTCTCATAGCTTACACTCACTGTAGTTTGCTGAAGCATTCAGATAGGATGACAGATACTATATAAATATAAAACCCAATAAACACTGTATTAAATAGCATCAGACAAGGAAAGAAATTGGTCATTCTATTCCTAATACAGTAATATTTGTTACTCTTACAGAGAACTGTATGCAGCACTATCCTAAAGCCAGACATTTCCCCCTCTTTTTACTGATACTATTTTCCTTTTTTTTTTTTTGAGAGAGGAAGCTATTACAGTACTAACCACAAAGTGGTGCTAAATGGCATTTGCATAATTTCTTTAGCAGAGTATAAGAAAAGCATATATTTTTAAATACGTATATATGTATCTCTTTAATATTTGTAAATAGCACAAGAGTAGTAGTTATCAAGCTTATATTGGATCATAGCATGAAAATAAATCAGCAAAGTTAAAGATGATTTAAGATGTGCACCTTGTCCAGCTGTGGCTGTTTGCTCCCATTTAGTGTCCGAGAAGCAGAGAATGGCCTTTTGTCTCCCCCAATGCACTTAGCGTGCTGAAAAGAACAGATTGGCTTGTGCAATTTTTTATCATCAAATGTACTTTCCACCAAAAATAAATGTAGTCCAGGAAGGCTTCGTTTTTCTCAATTTTTATATAGAAATGTCTCAAATTTTTTTGCATAACAACAGAACAAAAAAGCATGTATGCAGTGACTGACAGTTTCTGGCCACAAGAAATTTTTCAGGAAAAAATAAAAGCAAACTTTATAAATGGTTTTGAAATGGCTCAGCACTGAATTACTGCAGCACTTATAGCATCAGAATATGCTATGATACAAAAAAGAAAAAGCAAAGCTGTTTTTAAAGCACATGGCACTCTTCATTAGTGGCTTTGACTGTTTATGATTTATAATTCGTAAGTGAAAGTGTTGGTCCTATTCATTCACCAGCTTTGACTTAAAGAAGGACTTAAATGCATACCTAACTTAAGTATTTGCATAATCCCACAAGGTCAAATCAGTGTTTTGTACACTATGCAATGTGAAATTGCTTCTGTGCAGGCAAATGAATAGTGCTGTTGCAGGCTTGTACAGTACGGGTGGCATGCATTGTAATAGGTGTTTACAGAATTGTGAATGTCCAACATTTCTGAAAATCCTGAAAACTGCAACCCATGAAAATACATTTATATTATTACAGGCGTGGAGGATATGAAAAGACAACTCAATTAGCAGTATCTTTAAGAATCCAGGTTGCTCTTGTTTAACCTGGGATCCATCAAGGAACTTAAGTGGATGGATTTTGGATGATTCCAAAATGTCTTAAAACACTTGGATCATTTCAAACTTTAAAGCGTTAAAGAAATGAATGGAACCTTGTCCCTGAGAAAAGTTTTGTGAAGGGCAATGTGTAAGGTCTGTATAAAGGCATTCTTTGCTGGAGAGCCTGCATGTTGGGTTTATCTTCTTTCCACACTCCTGCATAGAACAAAATTGACATTCCTTGACCTACACAGCGTGTCACTGTCCCCAGCCTCACTGTGCTGAAGAAGATTAAGAATGGATTAGGATTATATTTTTCCCGCTCCTGTTCAGTGACAGAGTTCTATCATTTACATTAGGCAACGTTAACCGATGTTCTGCTATTGTAAAAGTGCCCTAAACTTTCAGATATGCCTTATCTTGTTACTGAAAAGACTAAATAAATGCAGCTAAATACAATGACCAACTCTAAAGTATCTGGATATAGAATTAGTTGTGTCAATTTTTCTTTTATTTAAAAAAAAAAAAATTAATGGTTCCATTAGATATTATATAATTCCCCATATAGCAGTCTCAAAAGCGGCCAGGCATTTTGCCTGTGCTGGTCTAAGATAATTCTATCAGGAAAATTCATATGTGGATGCTATTCATCAGTAACAAATATTATATGCATAGTGTTTGAATCTGCATTGCCAATTTGAATGTTTTGCCTCTACAGTCATATATGTATGTATATGTGTGTGTGTGTGTGTGTATGCTTAACCGTAAGTATGGAAAAATTCCATTGCTGTGTATAAAAACAGCAGAGCTGAGGCTTAGGACTAATCCAGGGAGATCTGAATGCTATCAAAAATCTGCTCTTGGTGCTCAAACATTCATTTTTCAATGGTTCCCACTCATTGCCATTTTCTAACTGGCAATGCATATGGAGGGGCATGCAGGTGCTCAGCCTGACAGTTCCAGAGGGAGCTGGTTTTGAGTCATCTGCACAGAGGGAAAAAGGTGATCAGAATTATTTTTAAAAATGAAACAAAGTTTACAAATTGACATAAGGAGGAAGCAGTACATTCAAACTTTAGTCAGAAAAGAAGAGAGTGTGTGAAGAGTACAAAGAGTTTGTGTCTCTGACAAATTACTTCTTGTGGGTATCCTAGCTTCCATTTTATGTCATTAAAACTAGCAGAAAAGTAAGTGACTTGACACATCTGGTCCTTCAATGCACCCATGGATAATTTACTGTTCCCTGTGTCAAGAGGCTGAAGCCAGGAATTTCCTTGTTAGAATGAGTATAATGCAAATACAGATCCATGGTCAGATCCAGGGGAAATTTAAGTACCTAAATTCTAAATTTTATTGGAACTAAAGCTCTTTTCCTAAAGCTTGTCTTAATACACATGTTCAGAACTCTTTCCTTCTCAGACCCTTGCAAATTGTTCAGCTCATAGATGTGTTTATTTTACAAAAATTACACCAACAAGCATGAGCTGTCTATAAAACATAACCTGGCCTTTCAAAATGACCTGGTAGTTCAGATTTCCTTCTACTAAACAAGTTGATCATTGGTGTATGTGTACATGCCTGGGCTCAGAAGACATTCATTGGTTAAAATGTGACTATCCCTGTTTTAGATGTCTGTTACTGAATGCTTTAATCACTAAATTCCAAATAACACTTATCCTTTTCATCTTTGAAATTCATAAATTCAGTAATACTGAACTTACTCTAGTACACTAAAGCAACATCAACAGCTGAGATGCAGTGTGCCTCCTTGCATGGATATCCGATAACCAGCCATTTGGGACACTATTAGGAGACTGGAAGTAGGACATGTCGATTTGCAACCATTTGGGACTCCTCTACCCTGAGTAAAAACTCTGTTCACCACAGTACTGTTCAACAGTTTCATTATTAAAATAATAAACATAAAATAAAAATTTTTAAAATAAAATGCCTGTAAGTGAAAATGAAATATATTATCTCAAACATAAAATATAGCTCTTTCATTCCATGTTCTGAAATGGAGCATTTTTCATACAGTTTTAGGTAGAAAACTTCCCATAAAAGAGAAATTATACTTCCTAGAAAGAGATAAGAATGACTTGTCTGCCATTAAAACTGACATTATTTGTGAAAAGTCATACCTGATTGTACATGGAATCAAACACTAAACTCCAGTTTCTTTTAAGACTAAGATCACAACCACATATTCTAATAAAGATACAAACTACTGTGTGTTACTTATGATGTATAATTGCACAACATTTAATTCTCTTACCCAGTTTCTCACTTGAGCCATAGGTACATACACCCCACCAGTGCCACATACCTTTTTCAGTTTGATGACTCCTTCCTGGGTGTTCTCATCTGTTGTGATGTCAAACAAGTTTCCTCCATCTCCTGGAACTATGTTGTACTCAATTTCTGCATTCTTCCCAAAATCAGGGTCCACAGCTCTGATCCTTCCAATAGCAGAACCGACGTGAGAGGATTCAGGTACTTTTAAATGGAAGATGCCTGTGACAAAGTGGTAAACAGTCATTCTTGGGATTTCTTGATAATTAACATAGTATGTCTGATTAAAACCATGGAGCCTGTGCAAAATAAACAGACTTAAATCATCCAATTAAAATGATGAGATCAAACCAACAAAGGATTAGGAAAAGATATGCACGTTTTACCCACTGAACATGTTAATTTCCCCTAGTTTCTAGATTTCGTCCAGTGCATCTGTAAGGGCCTTAGCATCTCTATCTCTTGAGATATCTGTCTATGTTTCTATCGTTAATTTTATCCATGTGGTTGACTCTTCTGAATTAAATTCTCCTTGTAGACAGTAAATGTTTATAAGCATTTTCCTACTTCTGTGTTTAACAGTTTTTAGTATTTGAATTTTTATTTTGTTTGAGAAAATATATTTATGCATTTCACAGTAGTTGAAAGGAAAAATTCAGTGGAAGAAGGATTTCCACCCATTTCTGTAATATTCAGTCTTATAACTACATGTACAACTCCTTGGGGGGGAGGCAGGGGTAGGGAAGATATAAAGAGTATTGTTTATCTATTAGCCACCAGAGGGTGCTCTTACTAAAAGTACAGTGCTAAACATAGATTCTTAGCTCTGCACACTTTATTTTCAGTTTATTTACTATTAGTGGTAATAAAAGTTAAAAAAAATACACAAAAATTACACTCTCTTAAAATAATAATTACTACTGATATATGAGGGCAAAATGGTTTCATTCAGGGAAATAGCTCTGTTGAAAAAATGCCACATGCAATAGTTAAAATAGCTAAAAGAAAAGGTCCAAAATACTTTGAGTCATCCTTGACTTTAACGACATCAGTAGCAGCAGACCTTAGTTTATACCACTGTGCCCTGCTTTATTACACCGCCTGCCTTTCCTGTTCAGCTGCACCTCTCACTGGGGTTGTTATTTTGCACAGCTGGTAGCAACCACCACCACGGTGAGTATTTCAAGTGGCCAGGTAGTGCTCGCCTTTCTTCATGCAGCAGTCTTTGCTGTCAAAACCACCAGCAGCTTTTGGAGCTAATTTCAGCGGGCCCAGGATATTTGATTTGCTTCATCCTGGCTCTGAACCAAAGCTGGCATTTGCTTGCCCCATCAGCCTGCACATTTCGTTTTCCTGGGTCATCCTCCAACAGCTCTCACAGAGCAGCTGCTTCAGTGCAGGGTAACATTGGCAATGGCCTTCTCTGTTCCTCTACATGTGAATACGTAGGAGGAAATTTACACCTCTTTTTCAATAGTATAGCAGGACAGGCATCTGTGACTAGTGGGAGGCATATTAGGGGGATGTCTCAGAGATTTCCTCCTGGCAGTGGTTCAGTCACACTTCACAAAATAAGGCTCTGAGAAGTTGTATATCATGTAACAGCAGGACAGATGACTCCCACATCCAGCTGCTGAATTAAACAGCAGACACTGCTCCCTGTCATCTCCTTACAATGCATGCTGTGTCAGCTTTTTCAGCTTTACAATACTTCCAGGTGAGGAAAAAAAATTACATTAGCACTGCTGGATTAGGAGCAAACGTACTCTTTTGTGAGCTCGTAGTTTGGGTTATGGTACCTATATAATAGTCAATTTGATTGGCTCTGAAAAAATGAGTTTTGTCTGTTTCCTCCCTCTATCCATCAGTATGCAACGTATATCTGAAGGCAAAACTTGCTTTATTTGTTTGAGAAAATCCCTGTGTGTAAAGTCTGCTTCTGTCAGCATCCACATTTGGACATTACCATATGTGGCTTTGAAGTACTCATTGACTGAGCTACTAAGGGTTGTGCAATTATCATTCCACTATTTTTTTCCAAGGGAACATACTAAAAGAACCTTTCTTTCTTCTTTTTCTAAGGGAATGTACTAAAGGAAGCTTTACTTCTTGTTTTAACAGCTGGAAGGGAGCACTATGATACGAAATATTATCAAGACAGAGGAGCCTCATCTATTTTCTTAGTTGCACTTCAATGACTGAGTAAAGAATAAAATTTTAACTTGGTGTGCAGGAGGCAATCACAAATCCTCCTCTTATCTAATATCATTTACAAATATGTGTATTACTGGGTCTCTGCTATGCAAGTTACTCAGAAGAGGTGGAAGAAAAGGGATTCAAAAGGGCCTTGCCTACATTGGAATCTTACATTACGTTTCCTCAACATAGTTCTAGCCCTGATGCCCAGGTCTTTTACAAACACTTACATTGCATGACAGAAATCATTGCTGTCGTGTTTTCTCTTTACAGCCACAATTTTGGCAAACATAAAAAGTAAGAGCATATGATAATGGATTTTTCCTTCTTTGCCTAGTCGATCTATTCTTAGTGAACTGAAGAGCACTCAGATTCATTAAAACAAACATTCCTCTATAAAATACTGTACCTGGCTGTAAAGCATATGGGACTTAGATGAAGTCAAAGAAACACTACATTACTCATTTCAGATTGTTTAGGCTTTTATCAGTTATTTTCAATGGCTTGGCATTTCATCACTTCCAGAAATTCAACAGCAATAAAGATGGGGTCATTCAGATTAATTTGAAACTCTGAAGTAATCTTCAAGTCTGTCAGAGTCAGATCTCTGAAGATATATTATGTAGTTACACTGCCATAGTCCTCCTGTAATAGTATCTTCACAGCATATGGAAGCTGTTAATGGTGCTACTGTGACAACATACTTTCAGAATAAAAGAAGTGAAAACAAATAATGTATATTGTTGCCAGCTCAGGGAAAGACTTCAAGAGAATATAATGTATAGCATGAAAACCTTTTTATTTCCCCCAGAAAATAGTCTTTGTACAGAGGACATTTGAAATGATCAACACGCTAGACATGAAATGTAACAGAAAGACAGTTTTGTAGATTTTTATTTTTCTGTTTCTAAAAGACATTACTTCTTGCTGTGGACTTGCTGTGACAGTTTAGCATTATTCAGTTTTTATTGTCCATTTTGCCTGTATACACTACTACCTCCATTTGCTACAGAGGTATGTTGAAACAGGCCTGGGTAATAACCCTTTACTCCCAAAGGTCCTGAAAACCTTGTTCTCTGCAGCTTCTAGGAATGATGGAACAAGCAGCTCAGACAAACTTATGCAGCAGCTGGTTAACACTGCCCGAACGGTTCTGTCAAATTCTGTAGATTGTCTCATGTGACTTCTCTACCTACAAAAATCTTTCCTTCTACTTGCATAAATCTCTTTTAAATGTATTTTCTAACTTTGCTTCTGGCTTTTGTAAAGGATGAGTGATATGGGATGTATCAAAGGAACAAGCCCTTACTTCCCCCAAACTGCACCATGAAACTGGACTCTACAACTAGTTACCCTTTTGTTGATTTCAGTCATGCATATTGCATGCATGTTGGAATATTTTCATATATAGGAAAGCTAGTAGTAATGCATATTGCCTGGTCAAGATTTTTTGCTCTGTTGTAAACAGAATTTTAGGGAAAAAAAAAATTAATGGTTATTTTTAAGGCCAAAAATCATGAGCCAGTTGTCATGCTTAACTTATGCAACCCTTTGCACTTAAATTACACTTAAAATTCAACCCAGAATCCAAAACTAGAGAAAGCCCAGTGATTATATAGCTTAACATAAGCATTCAGGCATTTCCTTATAAAGCCTGTGTAGTCTCTATGTGACTCAAGGTGTGAAACTTCCTTGCAGTTTCAGGTTGAGCAGCGTGAATGATAAAAATAAATGAGTGATGATACTGTTGAAGCCTTTAGGCTGAAATGAATGACAGGGCTTATTACTCAGCCCCAAAAGCATTCAGGAAACCGAGGTAGAGATGAGCTAACGACTCATACCTTCTGCCTCTGAGTTTCTAAAACAAAGATGGTTCCAAAGAACATAGCAGAAAGAAATCAGAGCTAAGTGCAGGTAATCAGCCATATTGACTGAAATTCAGCACACATTTATAGTTATTTTGACATGATTAGATTAGTTTTAGTTTTTAAGGCTCAAAAGCTCTTCCAGGGTTTGATTTTTATTTACAAAGGGTTTTTCTGTTTTGTTTTGTTTATCCACACCTGCAGTTTACAGGTACACCAACATTTACCAAAAAGTTTTTCATTTCTGATGAGAATAAGAAATGAAAAACATCATTACAACTCATCAGCAAAACGACCATTAAGAAATAACCCAGGTTAGCATCTAAGGACTTAAGCTAAATGCATAATGGCCTCCAACCAAACAGCTGTAAATCCTATTTGAGCTTTTTTCTAATCTGTCACTATACATGTACTGTGTATGCAAGATTAACCTCTCCTGCTTTTTGTTTGTCTATATTTTTTCCAGTTCTCTTTGGCAGCTGCCAAAGTATTGCATTGCAGTTAATCATGATAGCATGAATCTTGTAGGCAACAACATTGAAATAAAATAATTTCTTTTTCTTTGATCTAAATCTTTAATGTTTTCTCACAAAAAGAAATCAGATTATGTATATTATAACATTCTTCTTAGCTTAAATTAACAAGGCATTTCAGTTTTTATCCTGGCCAGGTTATAAGGGCACTGATTTCTGTCTGTTTAGGAAGAATCCAAAGACAGCAGTTCATATATACTTGCTGGTGTTTTAACAATAGTGTAATAGGCAAAAGAAAGGATACTGTAAATACAAGCAGATACTCAGTATATTAAACCTGTTAATCAGCTACAGCTAATCAGCCTAATAATTAGCAGCATCTGATGTACCTGCTCCTAAAACTGAGAAGATGTGGTTTAGCACAGCAGTGAGATATATTTGTGCCTCTCCTAGCTGTGGGTCTGTGCCCTAGAGGGTGCTGGGACCCTGAGTAGGGAAGAGAAAGGCCGAGCTTTGTCACCATGTGCTCTGATGTGGGTCACACATGAGGTGGCACAGGCTGGTAAAACTTTGGTTATGGCAAGGCTTCTTCCATCCTCAAACCCACTGCTCTGGGTTAGGGTTTATGATCTCATTAGATATAGCATAACCATTCTTAAAAACTCCTGGTTCTCTGCTGTGGATCCCG